GTTTTGAGACATTTTATAATCATTTTTCTGAATTCTTTCTCAGGTATCTCCAAGGCCTGCCCTCCTTCCAGCATGGAGAGAAGGTCTACTTCTGGTTCATTTGTCTCAGATATTGTCTTTTTTCTGGACATGTGCCGATATGGTCATCTGTTTTTACTTCTTGGATATGTTTAATGTTTATCTGTGGCCCTAGTAATTAAGTATATGTTTTGGTAATTTTTTATGTTTTCCGATTACCTCCAGGAAGGTGTGATCAGGATGTGGGCTTCTCTTTTCACTCTCCTTATTGCTTAACTCAGAGTAACTTTTTGGGCCTAAATTGGGCCTGGGCCTCGGTGGCGGGCCGTTTGGGCCTCTGGGGGCCTGGGTGTCAGCAACCGGGCTGCAGGAGGGTTGGTCCTCGGGCGGGCTGTTTGGGCCTTGGGGGGCCTGTGCCTCAGGGACTGGGCTTGAGGACGGGTTAGGTCTCAGGCACTGGGCCTTAGCGACCTGGCTACGCAGCAGGTTGGGCCTTGGTTCAGCCTGAGCCTTTGTGACCAGTCTGTGGGTGGGTTGGCCTCAGGTAAAGCCTTGGCCTCAGTGGGAGTGTCTGGGCCTTGGCCTCAGTGGGCGGGCCTGTGCCTTGGGCGTTCCTGAGCCTCGGTGGCTTGGCAGAGGGCTGGTCTAGGCTGGGGCAGTAGAGGGCTGTGGGTCGTGGCTGCAGGGAGGTAGTGTCCGTATATGATGACGTAAAAAAATGCCTCTCTCAGTCTCTCTGTACTGTGGGTACCCTGAATTTTCTGATATCTGTGCCGATATCCCTCTCTATGTGTTCAGCTTTGTTAGTTTATGCTTCCTTTTCTCTGGAAATGCAGCCTTCCTAGTGGGGTTGCTCTAGCCCTGCATTCCAAGGTCTGCAGGGGGTAGAGGCACTTGCCGGTGTGGGCCCGAAGCGGGAGCCACGTGCAGGCAGGCAAAAGCTCAAAATGCCTGTAATTCCTCAGCAATTTGATCTTTTTAAAAAACAAGTTCAGAATACTGAAATATAAGATCTTATGTTTGTTCAAATACTGTCTGTTTGCTAGACAGCGGTTTCCTATGTGCAATTCCACCCCTTTTCCCCGGAGACTGCCCTACCTGAGCTGCCTGGTCAGGGAAGCGCCGGAAGTCCTCGAGGGCTCACTGATTTTTGAGGTCAAGTCATCTGAAATGGAAGGAACAACACTGCCTTCCATATTGATGTTAAGTGCCGTTGACCTGGTTCCGACTCACAGCAACCCTGTATGGGGTTTCCAAGGAAAAGCTGGTAAGCTTGAACCACTGACCTTGTGGTTCAAACTAACCGTGCAGTCTGCATTAACCCACAGCATGGGTTATATCTACAAACGTGAAGTGCTGACATTATTATTAAAAAGTTCTGGACAACGTAAGCTAGATACAGATGTACCACTCTGGATGCTTGTGATTTCTGATACAGCAAAGAAAATCTATCAGTCAAACAAGTCAACTGGGAAAATTCTACTTTGCTAGTGGTCAAAATTAGGAAAACAGATCTGGAAATAAAGTATTATTACTATATCTACCCAAGTTTATATACTAGTACTGTACTTCTAAAATTTCCTGAAAAAGTTCAATTTAATGATTTGGAAATTAAAAAATAATTCTTAAAACATAATTTGCTCAGAGGTTTAAAAAAGGTTTTTGGTTTTTTTTTTGGTACCATATAAGTAACCCATAGGTAAATACCCTAATTTCATTTAAATAATTGGCTGAAATCAATACTTCTAGCTCTTAAGTGCTGTTGAGTGGGTTCCGACTCACAGCAACCCTGTATAGGGTTTCCGAGGAACAAGTGGTGAGTTTGAACAGCTGACCTTGATTCAAACAACCTCACAGTCCAGTGCTTATCCTACAGTGCCACAGTAGGACTCAAAATCAATGCTTCTTGTTATGTGCCATCGAGTCAGTTCCAACTTATAGCAACCCTGTATAGGGTTTCCAAAGAGCATCTGGTGAGCTTGAACCACTGACCTTGCAGTTCAAATGGCTTTGCAGTCTGGTGCATTAATCCACAGCGCCACACCAGAAGTCCCCAAAAGACTACGGTACTAATGAAATCTGAAAACAAAGATGCTGTTAACAGGATTAACTTGTAACCCAGAAGTCCCCTGAATGAGGCCAAGGTGATATGGAGGGAATATTCATTCAACAGCCTGCCGGTTAGTTAAGTCTCCCCCATTCAGAGTGGTAAACAGGCGCACAGATCCCAGTCACATGCTATACAATGTGTTTCTACTGCAGGTTGTGTCGTATAAGTCAGAACAGGCACATGTGGCTGCAAGTAACCCACCAGCCTCTCCTCAGAAGCCTATACAAAGGTTGCCATGAGTCAGAACGGACTCGACAGTGCTTCCCAACAAGTGTGTGCAAAGGCTCAGAGCCTTTCCCACCATTTACAAGCTCCACATACACACATCATTCAGCGAAGGTCATGGTCATAGCAAATGTGTTGCATTCAGTTTGGTTCCATCATTTCCTCTACAAACCCTGGTGACTGAGGGGCTGCTGGACCTGGACTCAGCCATGGAGAGGCAGGCCTTTCCGACTGCTGCTTTCCTGACAAAACGATCCGTGGCTGGAGATAGTTTCTGAGCACAACTTGAGCCTCCTGTGCACAGTCTGGAGGGTCACTGAGTTCACGGTGTCATCAGGGGTCAACTCTTAGGGGGCATTTTCTTAATTTTTGGGCATAACAAATTTCTTAAAAAATGGTATGAAAGGTTAATGCATCATAGTAAGAAAGCAATCCAAAAGGGATGGTTTTAAAACACTGAGGCTTCCTTTGGAGTGCATTTATAGAAAACGTCCACGTGTACTTAGAAAAGGGAAGATAATGGCGTCTGTGGATCTAGGCGCATGAAGGAGCCATGTTTGCTGAGTGAAGATATAAACTGTATGTGGATCTAGGTGCATGAAGGAGCAGTGTCATGCACTCGTCTGCTAACCAGCAGACCAATAGTTCAAACCTGCCGGCCACTCCACGGGAGGAAACAGTGGCAATGTGAATCCTTACAGATGACAACCTTGGAAACCCTGGGACCAGTCTCGCTCTGTCCGATAGGGTTGCTGAGTTGGAACGGCCTGGCTGGTGACACACACCACGTGTCTGTGTACACACACACCTGCATGATTAGGTAGACAGAGGATCACATGCCTGTGCTGGTCACTGACACTCAGACGACAGCATGGAGGCCTCCTTAGGTGGGGAGGAGCCCAGCATTTCTCCTCTGCTGCGCCTGTTTGCAGCCGGGTGCATCACTCGCTGGACATTTGGACATCAGAACGCTCACCCTCAGGAGCGGCAGCAGCCACTGGACGGGAGGATAAGGCGCAGGCCTGCAGAGAGAGCGGCCCACGGCCCCGAGAACCACCTCTGTACAGACCACACTTCTCTAAGCTGGCACTAAGATCATAGGAGCACTTTATTTACAAAGAAAACATCCAGAGTTGCTGAGTGTGCTAAAGCTGAAGTTCACGCATGTGCGGGACAAGCACTGGACTCTACTTCCCATTACAAGGTTTTAACCAAGAGAACCGTTACCTCAGTGTTGCCGACTGCACCCTGCTCTTCCTCCAGGTCCAGATCATTCTGTCTCAGGTATGCTTGCAAGGGGACATAATGCTTCTTCTTAAACGCTAAGAAGTCCATCATATTCCCCTGGAGGTGTTGCAGGAAAAACAGTTCAATCAAGTACTCCTTGAAGGTCTCCTTGAGCGCGTCCATCTCCTTGTGGTGGAAGTCCAGGCACTGCTTCCTCATCTGGGCCATTTCTGGAGAGGCTGGGGGGATCTCCTCCAGCTTCTTGGGGGCTTTCCTCAGCCCCTGGCCGACCGCAGCCGTGAGCGGAAGGCTGGACAGACCCGGCGGCCCCGAGGTCCTTGAGGGGCTGGTGGGCGGGGGCGGGGAGGTCATGCCGAAGGCCGAGGACCCGCCCACGCCTGGCAGGAGCACACTGGGCGTCCTCTCGAAGCCCAGGGGCCGGCTCAGCTGCTGGCCCTGGAGCACCTGCTGCTGCTGCATCAGCTGGCCCTGGATCAGGCTGCTGAGCTGGGGCGGCAGGCTGGCCGTGGCCAGGTGCCCAGGGCTGGCCAGGGGCTGCATACTTGTGCCCCCGGCCGCCGGGCTCTGGGGTCCCAGGTGGTGGATGGTGCCCCCGGACTGCGCGTGAGGCTGCGACAGTCTCCGTTCCCGCACGGCCATGGGTGGCCCGGCGTGCTGCAGCTGCACCTGCGTGCCCTGAGCCAGCTGGCTGAGGCTGGCCCCATCCTGAAACACAAAGTGCCCCCCACTGGACGGGCTCAGACTGATCTGCCGCACCAGCACGCTGGCGTCCACAAAGCCACTCGTGGGGCCCGAGGCACCAGCCCGCACGCTCGGCAGGGGCTGGCCTGGCGCGGGGTTGGGCTGGGTGGGGCTCTGGGTCTGCACCTGCTGGGACAGTGGGGAGGTAACCTGGATGTAAGATGGAGAGCCGTGCTCAAACCGCCTCTGCTGAGCGCTGAACTGGAAGCCAGGCGAGGTGGGACTGGGCAGCGGCAGGGGCGCCAGAGTGATCTGCTGGCTGCCTCCCACGACGGGCCCTATGTTCTGCAGGGTGATGTTCACGTTCTGCCCGCTCACTGGGCTCCTTCTGGTCAGCTGCTGGATCTGGTACCCGGGGGACTGGGGCGCAAACGGGGCGAAGGCCGTGGCGGGGGACTGGGGCAGACTCGAGTGGGGCTGCTGTTCCTCGCCCTCGCTGACGCCAGTGAGGGAGCGGGACTGCTGCTGCTGGGCGCTCAGGGGGCCGCCGCCATGGTGCATCGTCGTCCCCCCTTTTCTATCCAAGTGAATGTCCTGAGAAAACCAGAGTGGAAATCAAGTTACTGAAGGCAGATACAATCACCTGCACCTTTCCTACGACAGTGGACAGTGAGCAGCACTGCAGGTGGGCGCTTGGGGGCGGCTACTGTGGCCTAATTTCACCTCTGTGTGAGGTACTCTTTAAGAAATGCATTAACTTTACATTGAAGTTAAGGAAAGGCCACGGCTAGGGTGGCTGGGCTTTGTTTGAAGGCAGCCTTCACTAATATACTGATACCCACTGCACTTGTGTCTGACAGCTAACATCGGCACCAGGTTCAGGTTGGTTCTTTTCTTTCTTTTCACCTGCCCCCCTGTTTTTCTTTTCTTTTCTTCATTCTCCCCACCTTTTGTAAGAGGAATCCTGGTGGTGAAGTGGATGATGCACTGGGCTACTAACCATAATGTTGCAACTGGAACCCACCAGCAGGAGAAAGAGGAGGCTTTGTGCTTCTGTAGAGTTGCAGCCTTGGAAACCGTATGCAGGGGACACCGTGAGTCAGAATCGACTCCACGGCACACAGCAGCAGAAGTCATTTGTCGAAATCCAGCTGAGCTAGTGCTCCATCTCTAAGCACCCCACGTTCAGTACCACCCACCTGCCACGACACCCACATCTGGTGAGAGCTACTCCTGTGGAGAGTGCACAACACAACCATCACAGCCATGTGTTTACCTAGACCACCAGGGCACTGCCCCAGCTTGATTTCCTTCTTTAATCAAGCTTTCTTATTTGTCTTACTTTCCTGGGAAAAAAGACAACTGGGTAGGAGAGAAGTACCTTTTGTTTTCTTCTTCTTCCCTCAACTCTTTTCCTTACTTTTCCCCCAGTAGCCAGTGCCCCTAGTCAGCCACACATACTACCTGTTTCCCCTCACACTGGGCAAGTGCCACCAGCCACTCTGCTTCCACTGCATCAGTGACAGACTGGCCAACAGGCTGTCCTCAGAACTAGTCACTGAGATTCGTGACTGCTCCCCTACACTACAAGGTCTCAGAGACAACAGACAACTCCTATCACACACACACACAAAATATTCTCCAGAATAGACCAAGTGTTACACCACAAAGCAAGTCTCAAAAAAATTTTAAACATCAAAATACTACAAAGCATCTTCTTAAGTCACAATACTATGAAATTAGAAATCAACAAATAGAAAGATCCAAGGATATAAAATCAAATACATGGAAACTGAAAAACACCTCGCTTACAAGCTACTGGGTAGTAGAACAAATAGAAAATGAAAACTTTAAATTTCCAGAAACAAATGTAAACAAAAATGCAGAATACCAAAACCTTGGGACACAACAAAACCAGTGTTGAGAGCTTAACTTATAGCAATAAACACACACATCCAAAAAGAACTAAAATCAATGTGTTATCACAACAGAAAAGGGCTAACAGTGTAAGCCTGTAGTTAGGAAAATATTAATAATAAAGATCAGAACTGATAAACCACAGAAAGAATTCACATGAAAGAAGTTTGTTCTTTGAAAGGATTAGTAAAATTGACAAACCATTTGCAAATATAACAAAAGAAACATAGGGAGAAGACCCAAATGGCATGCATAAGAAATCATATGGGTGACATCACAACAGAACCATCAGAAATTCTAGAGTTGTACTCCAACAAATTTGAAAATCTACAGGAAACAGAGACATTTTTAGAAAAACACAACCTGCCTAAACTAACAAAGAGTGTAAAGTAGAAAACTTGAATAAGTTTATAACAAAATCAGAAATTGATCAGGGAGAGGACTTCCGGTACTTCCCGGACCAGGCAAGTCAGGTAGGGCAGGCTCTAGGGAAAAGGGGCAGAATCACACATAGGAAACCTCTATCTAGGAGACAGCCAGCATTTAAGCAAACATAAGATCTTATATTTCAACATTATGAACTCATTTTTTTGAAAGATCAAATTGCTGAGGAATTACAGGCATTTTGAGCTTTTGCCTGCCTACACGCGGCTCCCGCTCCCCGCGCCCACGCTGGCGAGTGCCTCTGCCCCCTGCAGACCTTGGAGTGCAGGGCTAGAGCAACCCCGTTTAGAAGGCTGCATTTCCAGAGAAAAGGAAGCATAAACTGGCAAAGCCGAACAAACAGAGAGGGATATCGGCACGGATATCAGGAAATTCGGGTACCCACGGTACAGAGAGACTGAGAGAGGCATCTTTTACGTCATCAGATTAACGCCCACTGAGGCCCCGGCCCAATCAAGGCCCAAATCACCTTCCCACCACGAGGTTCAGGGGGCCCACAGCCCGGTCGCCAAGGCCCAGTGCCCCTGAGACCCAACCCGCCCTCAGCCCAGTCCCCGAGGCACAGGCCCCCCGAGGCCCAATCCGTACAACCCGCCCGCTGAGGCCCAAGCCGCCGGATGCCCAGCTTATGATATCCAGGTCCCCTGAGGCCCAAACCAAATGCCCGGGGCCCAAACTGCCCACCCGGGGCACAAACCGCCTGCCCGAGAACCAAACCACCAGCCCGAAACCCAAACCTCCTGCAGCCCAGGTTGCTGACACCCAGGCCCCCAGAGGCCCAAACTGCCTGCCTTAGGCTCAACCCACCAGCCCGATGCCCAAACGGCCCGCCGCCAAGGCCCAGGCCCAACTGAGGACCAAAAAAGTTACTCTGAGTTAAGCAATAAGAAGAGTGAAAAGGCAAGACCACATCCTGATCACATCATCCTGGAGGTAATCAGAAAACATAAAAAAATTACCAAAACACATAATTATTAGGGCCACAGATAAATATTAAACATGTCCAAGAAGCAAAAAAAGATGACCATATCGGCACATGTCCAGAAAAAAGATAAAATATCTGAGACAAATGAACTAGAAGCAGACCTTCTCTCCATGCTGGAAGAAGGGCAGGCCTTGGAGACACCTGAGAAAGAATTCAGAAAAATGATTATAAAATGTCTCAAAACACTTTACAATGGAGTTGAGAAAAATAAGGAAGAAGTCAGAAAAACGCTACAGGAACAATCAAACAAGATAGATACAGCATTGGTAACAATCCAAAACCTACAGAAAGAGGTCCAAACAATCAGCAACTAAATAGCA